TTCTTAAATCTCAAAGCAACTGAGCCGTAGGGGCGTGATCTGTGACTCGACCAGATCTGTAGAGAATTCGGGCGGCTAATTCAAAGCGCAACAACATGCATTATTTATGTGCTGTGTTAATGATGTAAGAGAGATTGGAAACAAGGAAATCTTAGAAATTAATTTGTGTCAAGTTAACTGAGAATTATCCTTCCTTAGCACTATAGGGCGGCAGACGTTTCACGTATTTTGGCAGCGTGGGATAGTTGCAAACTAATTGAATAATTCATGAAGGGAACTATTCTTGCAAGTTGAAAGGAGAATAAGGCAAAAAGGCCTAATACCTTCAACAAAATGCGATAACCTAATTTTCCATTTGCTGAACAAAAATTTTTGCAACCGTTGCTTTTTCACCATTTTAAACAATCTTTTGGGCTTCCTCCTAAAGTTCACTTCAATGGGCTGACAGTTTCCAGCTTTTCGAGCTTGAATAGCTTGTTCTGGCCAAGCTTTAGGGCTTTGGATTCATTTCCCAGAACTGGCACATGATTTTGTGCAACCTGTACTCATGCTTACTGGCATGCGCCACCCAGTCAATGGACCTTCTTATGCGTTCTTTGCTTTAAAAAACCTTTTGGAGTTTGGCACAATGACGACATTGTGGTCCAAAGTTGGACTGAACTTCGCTAGCCGTAGTTCATTATTTAACCAAACCTTTGTGAATCAACTTTTTCAACGTACATACATGGAACTTCTTTCCTATTTTCAAAATATAGCTTTCTATAGACCATACAAAGCTAGATAGTGGAGTCTTTATCCGAAGTTACTGGGCTTTTTTCCTAGTTTTTCGGCCGCGCTCGAAAATTCGCACTCACCCAACGTCGTCAAAAGAAGAGTTCGCATTCAATGTATTGGAGTTTCTTTCTCACTGAGTAGCAGTTTACGGGTCACAAGTTGTTCGAAAAAGGGTCTGAACCATTGTTGATGAAAAGTATGATATATGAAAAAAGATTTAATGATCAAGGAGCTGGGGCGCGCGTAGACCAGAATGAAGGAATGTGTATAGGAATGTGAGGAAACTGTAAACCTGCTACGACTTAAACTGAACCTTCTGAAATTTCTACTATTTAGAATTTTATTTGTGTGCTTCAACTTAGAACTGACTTTGCTACGGTCCCGTCAGGGGTAACGCTTTTGCTGCTACCTGCTTCAATGTAGCACTACTTCAGGTACCAAAGGAGCCAGCGAAATGGAGAGGAGTGATGAATGCTACTCAGTTCAGTGCATTATGTATGCAACGAATGGATTCGCTAGCTACAGATCCAGAGAGACACGCTGCTCATTTTTCTGAAGACTGCTTATATTTGAACGTTTTCTCGCCGACACCCGTAAGTCAATCTCCTACGTTGTGTATAAAACCTGATTCCATGTTCCCATGTTTTCCAGCACCTTTCTTCTAGGAAGAGCTCGATTTCCTAATGGAGTGCTATGCATACTTCACTGTTACTTTCGTTTAGCGTGGACTTTTTAACAACCAGCGCTGTTCGAAGACTGATGTTCAAAGCATGTTTATGAGCTTCAGCTAGAATGCTCGTGTTATGACCAAGCAGCGCTCCCCGGCGGGGCGCGTACACCGCTCTTCTTGTTACCGGGCAATGCGCGCTATCGTTTCACGCTAGGGGTGCCTACGTTTGGTTGGTTTGATAACATATCCAACCATAATGTTGAAAGGTCATTGCTCCAAAAAATCCATAATCAAAAACCACGGAGAAAAACGACATTTGAGCTTTTTGCGACGTTTTCTCTTCGAAATTGCCCACTTATTTACATACTTTGTTGAACTTTTGTCTTGAGTCACGATAGGTCAACCCTTTTATAGCATTGCTCTTTGTTGCATTTAGAATTGATCCCGGAAGCATCGCCATGTTCCCAGAACAACTTTTCACTCTTGGTGAATTGAATCTGATTGGCGTTGATTGCGTTTAGCGCTACGATGAGATACGTCACACACTCGGCCTTCTTAAAAAGTCGAGGCGAATGATAGTTTATCCTCGTTCACTTTGCTTGGAAAAACCAGCAGCCTGTTCAGCTATAGTCCTATTAGAATGGGAACAGATCCACTGAGTTCCACGCAAACTGTATCTCGTTAAATATTGTCATTTTCCTGGAACCCACCTTTCTCGAGAAAGGAGTTTATCTAGGGCTATCCCTCCCCATGGGTCAATTCGCCATCATCCCGCTGGGAATTCACCAACCTGGGGTCTGCCTCTTCTAGAGCAACGGAAGCCTTGCGGTCAATACTCACCATGGGCATCGCCAGCGCTGTCGATTTTGAGTTCTCACGAAGCGGAACCGCAGCTTTCTTTGCCAAGCAACCACGGCCGCAATCCTAACTAGTATACACAAAAACGTGTGAGAGAATAGTTTTAGTGAGTGATGTTTCGGATTGTTTTTGGAATTCCTAAAAATAAGTTGCATCCAATTTTTGCAAATTGACTTCGAGTGATACTATCGAGTAATGAATAGAAAGCGGATCCCGTGTCAGATATTCCGTTTGCTACCATGTCCGTGATTTTCTGATGATATGGAGATGAAATGGCCTTTGAGTTGTAGAGAGAGCAGTTAACGGCGCGCATCTCTGCTTGTCTGCACCCTCTCATGAGACAGCGACAGCACGTGAGATTTCCATGCTTATGTAATTGTTTCGTACACCCTTAAAATGGTCATCCCGCTTTTCTGTCCCGCCCCTCACTTCTATTCTTAGAATTATGAGCACTAGCTCACGAATTTTTTGGCTTCATGCTGAATGGTTCCACTGTCTAGGCGAGAGGGCGTCGCCGACTGGATGACCCTCCCAATTTCCCAAACAGAGGGAGCTACGAAACCTCCGTTTCTTCTTGGATTGATTAATTGCCAATCAGTAGCTAAACTATATGGGAGGTTATGAGGAGAGCTGGCGGCCTAAATTACGAATAATGACTTCTTTTCAGTATCAATACACCAACGATACTTATCCAGTCGTAGTGTTCATACATGGAGGAGACTTCCAATCCGGAGGAGGAAGTGACTATCCCCAGCAAGCGATTCTCGACAATTTTGTTTCAAGAAAAATTATATTTGTTACTTTCAACTACAGACTTGGACCACTTGGTGAGTTCTGATGACGCACTCATATGAATCTGTACCGTTTAAGGAAGAATTCACATGCGTTCTCTGCGAGGCGCGTCGCGGCGGCAAGAAGGCAGAGTCAGCGGACGAGTCGCAGCGCGTGATGTGCGATGTACGTGCAATGGACATTCTATTTCAACTTGACGCGAAATCCCCACAGTACGCGCGCGACTCGTCCGCTGACTTTGCCTTCTTGCCGCGCGACGGGCCTCCTGTCGGGTCACCCTAGAATTAACGGTGCCAACGTATATAGGGACAAGCGGTGCTTTGTCCTCCTGTGCTCTGCGAGGGCGCTCCAATATTGAAGGGAAGTATCAGGACTAAGTTCAGGAAAGGACTTCCGGAATGCGTGGAGGCACCATTTCTTTCATCCGGAGTCGTTCTTCCCTTTCTACAAGCCGTTACACCTTGCGCCACAGCGTGAGAGTATTTGAAACAGCGCTTCCACACCTTATCTGATAGGCTCTGAGCTTCAGTTTGAAAGTCGTCAACTGTGCTTGCCTTTCTCTGAACTCTCTCGGCCGAAGGCAGAGTCTCGACCTCTTCCCAGTTTTGCATCAGGTTTAACCACCTGGCGTGCACTGCCTGGTTTCGCTGCACTCTCTCTCCTAGACACGGATTCTTTGCTAACATGGCTCTAAAGCTGACACGCGGCTGTCCGTAGCCCGTCTTGCGCTATGGCTGCACGACAGAGAACATTGATGGAAGTTTAAGTAGTCGCATGACATCGCATAGTCATTCCTCTCATTGAGGAATCTTCAATCCCTAAGATGTTTTGAATTTCCTTTGTCGTGATTTTCGCAGCTTTTGAAGAAAAGTCATTTTTCCGAGTCCGAGTAGGAATTGTGGACATTCCGAAAAACACTTGAGTGATTCAACCTGATCTCGGAGGAGGCTTGCGTGCCCCATGAAACCATTCTCATAAGGAGGAATCCAAGCAGGGATAAAGCGCAACGAGCATATGTGAGCGGGAGTGGCAAAATTCATTATTTTTTAGGCTTAATTACTCCACTTGAAATTTCAGGGTTTCTATCAACAGGTGACAAAATTCTACCAGGAAACGTCGGGCTCTGGGACCAAATATGGGCACTAAAATGGGTCAAGGTGATTGCCATTCTTTTTCTGGTTTCCATATACACTCACACAAAGAAGTCTTTACATGTTTTCAGCTCAATGCGGAAGTGTTCGGAGGCGATCCGTCAAATATCCTTCTCATGGGATCAGGAAGCGGTGCAGCATGCGCCTCTATTTTGGCGCTATCCCAGGGCTGCAGGTATTGCCACATGTTCACTTAATTATTTTTTCAACTTTTGCTAAAACAAAAATCCCAACAAATACCAGTGTTGTTACACCCGTGCCCTTAGAGCTTCTCATCACTGCCACGGAAAAGCCATGAAGGTAAATATCGAAGCCATGGAAGAAAATGTCCTGGAAGAGAAACATCTGCTTCGCTCATGTAGCAATATGTAACAATGGTAGTGTGCCCCAGATGAAATGTGTTACCTTCTTAGTAACGCAAAACCATAAAAATTGAAGGGAAGAGCACCCCGGTGCTAAATTTTGACTTTTGTTTTTCGTTTCTCAGCTGAGTTTGCGAAGGCGTCGGCTAGTGGGATTTTGATATGCTCCCTCCATTTTGCCCTCTAATATGGCCATCTAACGTGATATTTTTCCATTATATCAGATTATTTTCACAATCTAATGTAATCCACATTTTAGGACTTTTTCACAAAGTATTGCTGATGTCTGGAACAGCGCTGCAGCCTGGAGTTGTACGAGATACGGCTATCAATGCAACATGGGCTCTAAATGAGAAAATGCAGTGCAGGTAAGTAGATAGGAGCTCTCTCAGAGAATGATTGCACTTATAAGGAAGGCCCTCAGACCCGACCATTCAGGTGGGATGTGCAGAAATGCTGATTTCAAGTCTAGTAAGTGATTGCCTGAAGTGACAAAGCGAAAGAGCGCGTGGTAGGGGTCAGGCTGGGTCGAAAGCTGTGTTGCAAAATCTGCTGCGAAGAGTCGCATGGCTTGTTAGAAGCGAAAGGTCGTGAGCGCCAGAGCCTGCACCTCTAGAACTAACAGTTTGGTTCAAAGAATCCCGTAGTAGATTTGGAAGAGCAGTTTCAGAATTATTGTTCCAATATGCATAATGGAGTGTTCATTGTACTGTGAGTGACCTCGACAACTTGAAAACCCTTCCTTATTAAGCAGTGCGTGGCGCATCCCAAAAGATATGAATCATTATCATCATTTTCCCATTAGATATTGGAATCTCTGTATACGATTCGAAGGCGTGCTGATTTTGAAGAACAATCGCACTCATGTATTACTTATGCAGGTCCTTCAACTCATCCGAGCTACTGGACTGCTTCAGAAAAAGAATGAGGGAGGAGATTCTCGACTACAAGGTGTTTATATATCTAGATTGATTGTGTAACGAAGCACGTGCTCCATCGCTCATAAAATCGAGGCCACATTTCAGAGGTTGAATTGGGACGATTACCAGGAATTCGTTCCTGTTGTCGATGGAGCCGGTGGGGTGATCCCTGATGTGCCCGAAGACTTAGCTAAGCATAGGAAAAAGATACCAATGATGATTGGAACCACACGTGATGAAAGTTCTTTACGAATATGTGAGCTTTTCATTGAAATATTGCTTGCTCTCCAAGTAACATTAGGACCAATTTTAACACAAAGCATTTCAGTGATACTTGAACGAGAAGCAGGTCAACTTCAGCGCTTTGAATAGCCCATTAGCTGAGAAACTGGCGGACAACCTCACACTCGGCTACATAACAATTTCAAAATCATCGCCTCATAGCCGAAGGT